GGTCACCGGACCCGAAACGTTAACTCTGATCTTTTCTTCACAGATGCTGCCAGACCTGCTGAGCTTTTCCAGCAATTTTGTTTTTATTCCTGATTTACAGCATCCGCAGTTCTTTCAGTTTGTGTCTCCCTGCAAACCCACAGGCTGGTTGAAACCATCCGTGCCACATCTCCATATTAAGAGAAGAGTCCTCTAAACTTGAAACGTTAGCTTGCTTTCTCTCCATGATGCTGTGTGACCTGCTGCGATCCCGCACTCTTTGTCTTCTTACCACATCTCACTTAACCACTGCACAATGACCTGTTCAACCATCCCACTGCCCATATTCCAATTCAATGGCCCATTTGAAGAAATCTTCCAAAGCAGGATCCACCAGCTAACATCCTCTGGATTAAGGAATGGGAAAATGGGAAGTCATTGATTAAATCGTTATGATAACCCTCCCTGCCCCACCTCACTGTCACATGACAGGCTTTGAATTACCATGGTGAAAGTGGCCTTGCTAAACTGGATAAGCCAGTGTTCCTGTAAAACCAACCACCTCCACTGGGGCCTCAGTAATCCACTCACCCTCTGCATGTTTGTGGAGAGCCATAAGCAATGCTGCATGTTACTGAGGAGTGTCTACAGACTAACTGGTGGACTAATCACCTTAGCCTCATTTGTGGAGTTTATCACTTGGCTTCAGGGATTTGCATTTGCTAAATAAATAAACTGCCCAATCTCCTCATCTCTCTCCTTGCAGTGTCATGCACTTTGACTGTAGCCCATTAACTGAAGTTTCCAGGACATAAGTGAAAATGACTAATAATAAACTTTTCAAACTGTATCTAGGCTTGTGGAACTTGTTTAGAGATAGTAAGATTTGCTGGTGCTGGAGTCAGAGATAACTATATGGAGATGGAAGAGCACAGCAGGCCAGGCAGCATCAGAGGAGCGGAAAGCTGACGTTTTGGATCGGGACCCTTCTTCAGAAATGGGGGAGGGGGAAGGGAGCTCAGAAATAGAGAGAGGAGGGGTGAGGCTGGGAAAGGTACATGGGATTGTAATAGGTGAGTGCAGGTAGGGAGTGGTGGGGATTGGTCAGTGAGGTGGGAGGAGCGGATAGTGGGAGAGAAGATGGGGAGGTTGTGTCAGGCTCCCAAGGCGGAATATGAGGTGCTGCTCCAGTTTCCGGTGGCGTCATTTATGACGCTGGATGGTGCCCAGGATGGACATGTTGACCTGGGAGGGGGAGTTGAAGTGGTTCACGACTGGAAGGTGTTGTCATTTGTTGCGAACCGAGCACAAGGGCTCTACAAAGCGGTCTCCAAGCCTCCGCTTGGACTCACTGATGTAGAGGTGGCTTCCACCACCTGCAATCTGACCCCATAACCAAAGATATATTTCCCTCCCCATCCCTATCTGCCTTTTGTAGGGACCACTCTCTCCACGACTCCCTTGTCTGCTCCACACTCCCCACTAGCCCCAGTGCCCCCTGCAACCGCAGGAAGTGCTACACCTGCCCCTACACGCACCCCCCTCACCTCCATCCAAGGAAAAAACAAAAACCTTTCACATCAGACAGATTCGCCTGCACATCCGTCCAATGTGATCTGTTGCATCCGCTGTTTCCGATGTGGCCTCCTCTCCATTGGTGAGACCAAGCGGAGGCTCGGAGACCGCTTTGTAGAGCGTCTGTGCTCTGTTCGCGACAAACGCCAACCCCTTCCAGTCGCAAACCACTTCAACTCCCCCTCCCACTCCCTGGATGACATGTACATCCTGGGCCGCCTCCAGTGTCACAACAACGCCATCCGGAAACTGGAGGAGCAGCACCTCATGTCCTGCCTTGGGAGCCTACAGCCCAATGGTCTCAATGTGGACTTTATTAGTTTCAAACTCTTCCCACCCCTGGCCTCATCTCTTTTGGAACTTGTTTGTTTCTTTTCTGACTGCCCTGCCTACTGTATGTAATTGTGTACAATTGGCAGTCCTGCCTGGTTGGCATTTGCGAGACTGGTATAGAAAATGATGGTAATCTTTTTGTCCTAATTGACAGAACGATGGAGCAGTGTTTCCACATGTGTGACCGAATTGTTATCTACTTCTTCATTGCATCATCTTATGCACCATGGTGAGTGTTTTAACATTTTTTACAAAAATTAATGACATGGGGGAGACTTTCCACGTAGTTGTAATGTCGCAGGACTAGGAATCCTGATGCCAGGCTAATATTCGGAAAGCATGGGTTTGAAACCAGCCATGGCATATGGTGAAATCTAGATTCTATTAAAAATCTGAGTATAATCTATGTTGTGAAAACTGATATTCTTGAGGAAGGAAAGCTGCTGTCTTTACCTGATCTTGCCTATATATGACCCCATTCCTACAACAATGGAGTTGACTGCTGACTGCTGTATTAAATGGCTGAGCAAGCCACTTGACAAGAGGGATGAGCAATAAGTGCTGGCATGGTCAGGGACACCCACATCCAATTAATGAATAAAACAAAATGTCCAGCTGCATCTGGAACATGAGACAGCATGGAATTGACTACATGTTCCAAACTGCATGTGAGATGGACTACTTCACATGCAACTAATTGAAATGCAGGATCTAGTAGCCCACAAGCTCTTGTAGAATGGTTGAGACATCTTTTTGGCAACGGATGTTACTTTTTTCGAGCTGATTGGGATTATAAAAGCTCACACTCTACTAAACTCTTCATTAGTCACGCCAAACACCTGGTAGCAAGTGTTGTAATTGAAATCAAGAGGGAGCTATGCATCTAACTGAAAAGCTGAAATGTAACATAATTTTGGTCCCTAGTATAAGCTCTCTCAATGCTGTCAGCTTATCATATCGTGTCCGATACAGCAGCTGACATCTGACAGTGTAGCAGGAATCAAATACAAGTTCATTTTCCAATATTTTGAGTGAGGATTGTATATTTTCTTTAGCCTTGGTGCCCCAGACCATTGAAGGTGAAATTTAGACGGTGCCAGTTCCAGAGGGCTTTCCTAATGCTGCATGCATATAAAGAAAGTAAAGGGCTTGGCTGTGATGATCTCCACAGCTGACACAACTTATGATCACAAAGATCAATCGTTAAGGTAAAGTACTGGAAACCTCAACGAGAGAATGCTTTCTGGAGAAGTGAACTGTGTATCTGTTAATGTAAAATTCAACAGATTCAGAATGTCTGCAAGCCACGCTAACATCTTTCTTTTGCAGGTTAAATCTCCGTGAGCTTGGGCCCTTGGCATCTCACATGCGCTGGTTCATTTGGATCATGGCCGCTGCTGGAACCATCTACGTCTTTTTATACCATGAACAGTAAGCACTTTTTCCACAATTCAACACCATTCACAACAAAGGCACCCACTTGATTGGCACCCCATCCTCCACCATTAACATTGAGTAGGCCAACTTCAATAACATCTAAGACGTTTGACACCATCCAGGACAAAAAAACCCAACTTGTTTGACACCATGTCCACAAACATCCGGTCCCCCCACCATCAACACTCGGGACAAACTACTGTTACTATCTACAAGATGCAGTGCAAAAATTCACTAAAGATCCTCATAACCGTGTCCATCGAGAAGGATGACAACAGCGTATACATGGGAACTCCACTACCTGCAAGTTCCCCTCCAAGCCCCCCCTCATCCTGACTTGGAAATATATCCCCATTCCTTCACTGTTGCTGGGTCAAAGTCCTGGCATTCCCTCCCTAAAGGCATTGTGGGTCTACCTAAAGCACATGGAGTGCAGTGGTTCAAGAAGGCAGCTCATCACCACCTTTTCTAGGGCAACTAGGGATGGGCAATAAATTCTGGCCCTGCTAGTGACACCCATGTGCCATGGATGAAGTTTTAAAAAAAAAAAAATTCCTTCACTGGGGCATAACAGCAGCAATTTTTATCTACAAAATGCACAGCAGCAACTCAACAAAATTCCTTCAACAGCACCTTCCTAACCTGCAATCTCTATCACCAAAAAAGATATGACGGCAAAGGCATGGGAAAATTGTAACCTCAAATTCCTTCCAAGCCACTGTCCATCCCAACTTGAAACAATGTTCTTCATGTCATTGGGTCAAAATCCAGGAGTTCCCTTTCAGACAGCTCGCTGGGTGTACCCGCACCACATGAACTCCAGTAGCTCAAGGCCTGTCACCACCAGCTTCTCAGGAGATAAATGTGAATGGTCTTAATTAGTCAGACCCACATCTGAACTACAACTGCTTTTAAAAATGCATTCCTCTGTCATCATCATTTAAAACAGCATCGGTAATCAGCTGCAAGCATGAAATATATTTTATTAAAACATTTGTATTTTCTTTGCACAGGTATAAGATTATTGAGCTGCTATTTTACTTGACAATGGGATTTTCACCAGCTGTGGTGGTTGCATCTATGGTAGGTGGCTAGAATAATTACCTTCCATTCTCCAGGTTATAACTAGGATCTCTAATAGTTTCAGTGATATTGGATCTCCATGGATATTTTCAAAACATTAGAACTTTTAAGAACAGTCAGCAAGCATTCCCTAGAGATTAATGTGAATATCACCCTGCTCCTCTGCTCATTCTAACAAGGAACGTAAATTGCTCCATAACTCCAGATTTTCTGTCACATGCTGCTTCTGTTACTGAATTCTCCAAGTAACCAATCGCATGGTTTCATTTGGCAATTCTGTACAGTTACACTGTGACTGAATAAACTGTGATCTGTACAGTTGCACATTGACTCTTATCCTGAATAAACATGGACTCTGTATAGTTACACAGCGAGTGATCCTTTCCCTAAATAAATAGCAAGTGACCAAATTCATACGTCTGCCTCAACCCTAATCAGTGTTAAGCCAAATTATTCTTCTGTTCCTTCCCTTCCCCCCGCCCCACCCAAAAAAAAGTTCTATTTTCTGTGTTAATCAGGCCATTCTGGCCAAACTGTTTCAAACAGGGAATCCATAAAAATACCATAAGAAATAGGAATGGGACTAGGCCGTTCAGTCCCTCAAGCCTGCTGCACCATTCTATAGGATCATGGCTGATCCAACATTCCTCACGTCCACGTCCCTGCCCTTCCCCATAACCCTTGATTCTCCAATTACCTAAGACTGTATCTATCTCAACCTTCAATATACACAAGGACTCTACGTCCACAGCTCTCTGTGGCAGAGTTCCAAGATACTCAACCCTCAATTCCTCATCTCAGTTCTAAATGAGTGCCCTTTATTCTGAGACTCTGGTCCTACACACTTCAATGAAGGGAAGCGTCCTCTCAGCATTTACCATGTCAAACCACTTAAGAATCCTGTATGTTTAAATGAGATCATCTCTTGTTCTTCCAAACTCCCGTGAGTAGAGTTCCAACCTGTTTAGCCTTTGCTCATAAGACAGTCTTCCCAAACCCGGGGATCATGCTAGTGAGACTTCTCTGAACTGCCTTCAATGAAATATTGCTCCTTTTAAGGGGGCACAAATGCTCACTACTCCACATGTGGCCTCACCAGTGCCTTGTACAGTTAGTCATAGAGTCAGTAATAGAGATGTACAGCATGGAAACAGACCCTTCAGTCCAACTTGTCCATGCTGACCAGATATCCTAAATTAATCTAGTCCCATTTGCCGGCATTTGGCCTATATCCCTGTAAACCCTTCTTATTCTTATACCCATCCGGATGCCTTTTAAATGTTATAATTGTACCCGCCTCCCCCACTTGCTCTGGCATCTCATTCCATACACGCACCACCCTTTTGTGTGAAAAAGTTGCCCCTTAGGCCTCTCTTTAAATCTTTCCCCTCTCATCTTAAACCTATGCCCTCCAGTTTTGGACTCCCCCACCCTGGGGAAAAGACCTTGTTTATTTATCCTATCCATGCCCCTCTTGATCTTAAACCCTTAGGTAACCCCTCAGCCTCTGACGCACCAGAGAAAATAGCCCCAGCCTGTTCAGCCTCTCCCTGTAGCTCAAACCCTCGAATCCTGGCAACATCCTTGTAAATCTTTTCTGAACCCTTTCTAGTTTCACAACATCCTCCCTATAGCAGGGACACTAGAATTGCACACAGTATTCCAAAAGTGGCCTAACCAATATCCTGTACAGCCGCAACATGACATCCTAACTCCTATACTCAGTAAATTGCAGTAACATTTCCGTACTAGGTAGGTAATTGAAATTATCTGGAGTGGGCTTGATTGCTTTGACCTAATCCTTGCTGTTCTGATGCAGCCAAACACCGATGGAATCCAGGAGCTGGTATGGGGTGGCATGCTGTACTGCCTGGGAGTGGTATTCTTCAAAAGTGATGGGATAATTCCTTTTGCCCATGCAATCTGGCACATCTTTGTGGCTCTGGCTGCAGCAGTACATTATTATGCGATCTGGAAATATTTGTATCGGAGTTCTGCAATACCTACGTGGAAGGACTTCTAACATTCAGACCAGCACTGTCGGTTGCTGTTAGTTTGTGTTAATCAGTTTATTTGAACAATATATTAACACACAGGAACAGATTGCAGAAGATGGATGAGAGGTACCGAGAGCCACGTTCCAATGACCCCCGCCCCCCAACTGTGAATAAGCAGTGTCAGTCACAAGGGGAAGACGGATGTGAAATCCTAACAGATCCTCAGGGTGCTGCTGCCCACTTTTTTTTTTAAAACTTTTTTTTTTCCTGAGGTCACAGGTTTTAACCTCCAATTCTCTTTCTTCCTGCTGTCTTAACCATCTGGGCTATTCTGCATAATTTCAAGAGCTTCATTTTGACTCGATAGCATTGAAGTGATCTCCAGCATTTGACTGTACTTTGGTTTTTGTGATTGGAAGATATGTGAGGATGAAAGGATTCGGCTAAGGAAGAAATCGGCACCTTTTGTAAAGTGACTTGAAGCCTTGTAGGCACCCTATAGTTTGACATGAACACCCACAGCAATCTGAACTGATACATTCCATTGGGTGGCATTTTATACCTCAGCTTTGATTGCCAAATTTTCAACTTACTCAGTGATCCTGGGTGGTGCTCTGGTTGGACCGGTACTTTCCTTTCACATTTACCAGTAAAGAATTTAATTAAGTTACTGTATTTCTGTGTAGCAATGCCTTGAGTGCTGTCACAGGAGGCTAATGAACAGAACCTGTTGTACGTACTCTGTCATCTTGCATAGAGAGTGCATGGCCATATCCCAACAGTATTGTTAGTCTGGCTGTGATTATTTCAGCAATGTACTGATGGTGAGGAATGCAACAAAAAAAGCAGCATGTTTTCTTGGCCATTGCTACAGCAGCCAGCAAACCCCATCTCTTGTTGATAAATGTTTGGGCATACTTTTCCAAATCGTGGCTGATCAGATGGTCAGTTCCCTGAATCTGAGAGATTACCTCATTTTACCTCATTCTTGTAAACGAGCAGCTATTGTTCCCTCTGTCAAATTCTCCACAGTTGTCAGCTTTTTTGCATTCTCTTATGATGTTAAATTGGCCATTCCAGCATCTGTTGTAGCTCCTATTACTCTGTGACTATGACCACCATCTTAAGACTGTGAATTAAACTTAATAAACGGTTTACATTTTGTCAAGACTTTACCCTACATGTACAAATGCTTATTTTGTATGCAGCCAATTCTTACAAAATGGCCCTGCGAGTCTCTTCCCTCCACCTGCTTGCTCTAGATGTACAAACACACATAGATGTAGGTTTTTAGCTAGGTCATGGTTCACACCATGAGGAAAGGGCAGATGACTAATTCAAATCTTCCTATGACAGCTACTGTATAAAAGGAACGAAACACTACTCATTTACTCTGGGAGTGTGATGGAAACTTTATTCAATATCCACACAGCCATTGATTGTTGTCCGTGCAGGGTAAACGGTTAACTTGGTGCTAGCAACCAGTGGCAGTGAACCTGATTGTGTTTCTGTTACTATACTCAACAGTTGAATTAAATACCTCAGTGGTAATGTTTAGATTTTAAAGGTGCTTTTAAGTCAAACAAAACAGAAATCCAGGTGACATTTTTGGTAAACTCTTCGTTAAGCTCAGATCCTCTGCAACTTGTGGGTATCAGTATGTCAGGTTGGAAATAGGGAATGTTTGGAAGATGATGTGCCAGTTTACACTTGTTTCCAGAGCAGGTCATATACAGGTTGGGAGACAATGGCTTGGTGTTTGTCACCATGTGCTCCTCTTTGTTCCAGGAAATCTTGCTTACAAAATAAACATTAGTAACAGTACCAACTGGGTAAAAGGTGATTGAGCACAGCTACCATGTTACTGCAAGGAGTAGATCACCACAGCTTCTCCTGCTCTTGGTAACCGGTTTGTCTCTGTGTAAGATACATGCACAATAACAGATGGACCAGACTGGACAATATATAGCTTTTACTCAGCATTTGCTATATGTATACAAAAGCTGTCCCTGAGATATGCACCAGTCGCATGAGAGAAGAATCTCCTCTCACTCAACTTGTGCTGCCCATTTCTGTGTCAGCAGTTTGAATCATCAAGACCGGAACTTGTTCCTCTGGTGTTTCTAGGCTAAGGTTTACACTGCAACTGTTTGCGATATAGGGAAGTCGGTTTTATTATCAGAGAAAGGGAGGGTCACTAATAAGTTATGGTGCTTGTGAAATGAAATGAATTGTGTTGCATTAACAAGGTTTGCATCTGTACATATTTATCTTGTGAATCTCTGTGGATTGTGATGGTTTGGGGGTTTAAATTGATGCATGTCAAGTTTTGTAGCCAGGGTACCGACAGCTTTTAATATTTCTGATCCAGATGCTGTATTCTCAAGTGTGAAACCTTTTATTGTGTTTACAAGCAACAATTGCTGCTCCTACTGTTTGTCCCTAGCATGCAAACTGTCTGTGCTACCTAAAACCACCTTCACCCCTATTCTAGGGAATGGTTGCAAATCATTTTTACACTTGTGCAGGTACTGGACCTTTTGCACTTTTGAGCCTTTACACTTTGTCAAGAATGTTGTTTTTTGTAACTAGCTTAAATGTTGCTGAATCTGGGGAGTCAGGATTGGGCACAGCTCATCAACACTAATGTTGATAAGAGAGAAGCCACCCACCCCCCTCCCCTTTCCTGGTCACTCCCAGTGGTGGATTTCCAGACCAATATGCAACTTGCTTTTAATTAGTTTCTGGTTGATCTGTTTCCCTTTTTCTCCTAATAGATTGAGGCATTACTTAACCCCAGCAGTTCGGGAAAATATGACATGGATAATGGGTCTTGTCAGAGTTTAAACATATTTTTTGATACAGTGCAGGTTAAGCATACCTAGAATGGGGCCATGCCAGGAGCTCTGGGTAGTTGAGGCAGCTGATTCAGACAAGTTTTCCCATTGAATGGTGCCTGAGGCTTTTCCACCTCATTTCAGGCTGCTTTTCCTTCTTGAATCCCCTGTCTTCCCACCGGCTGAGTGCCTGCTTCATCTTGAACAATTTTAAGAGGAGCTTGCAGTTCCAAGTCAGTTGTCTTCCAGAAAATAGAACTCCATCTTTACTTCTGGAGGAGCCTATAACAGAGCTGCTGACCTGGGACAGCTGATGTGTAGAGTTACAGTAGCTTGGATCTTGACAAAGTCTGAGGAGTTGGAGGGACTAATTTCTCTGTACCAGTCAAGCTCTCCAGCAGTCTCACGGTCTCCAGTGTTTCCTGGCATAGGCTACACTGCCCCTGACTCTTGAGGTAGTGTGACCTGGGGAATTCTGAGCCCAAATTACCCACTGGATCAACAATTTAACATGTCTCCTCAATGGTTAATAGGACACTCTGGTAGAGGGTGTGAATCCTTGTTTCACTGCTGCTGAGCATTTTAAAATTTCTATTGAGGCTCAATCTCATTTCAAATATTTGATCCATTGAAATAGATTCCAAGTACTGTTTGAAAAATAAATTCAAATTTAGAGTCTGCATTTGATGTGACAGGAAATATAATATTGAGCTTTTTGCTGGGAGTGTGCTGTATATTTTCTGCGTGACTGTGTACTCTGTATCTGAATGAACCAGATTGCAGCTAAATAAAGGATGCATTTTGTTTACTTCTGATTTTTAACATGCTGTGGGTACAGACAGGGAGGAAATAGTGTTTTCACACACACCCAGCTATTGAGAATGACATCACCTAAGTAACCACTCTGGAACAGGCCATTTCAAAGATCTCTAGAATCCTGACTGGAGCCTCCCAGTAGGATCAGACTTATGTTCCACATTCGCATATCACTTAAACACAGGAGCACTCTCATTCTTTTTAATATTGTTACCATGTCTCTGTCTAACTTTGCCCTCCTAGAGCCAACTCATCACACATGGCATTTACTTTGCAAAAGTGTTTCTTCACCTCTTAGAGAGCAGACTCTCACTGGGATACAGTTCTTGACACCCTGGAAACTTAAAGAAATTGCCAAAACTCATCCTGTCAAACACTCCCAGGCCAGGTACAGCGCAGGATTAGACAGTAAAGCACCCTCTGCACTGTCATCATCACTGTCAATGTAATACTTTCATCCGAAAGGAGAAGGAAAGGTAGGTAAAAACAGAAAGAACTGCAGATGCTGTTAATCAGAGACAAAAACAAGTTGCTAGAAAAGCTCAACAGATGTGGTAGCATCTGTGGAGAGAAATCAAAGTTAACTGATGGTGGCTAGGAAAATGCCAGTTTATATGCAGAAGATGGGCGGGGAGAAAGGAGTATGTGATAGGTGGGGATAGCAGTTAGACAAAGGAGTAGATAATGATCTGGCTAGGAGGGTGAATAACTATTAATGAGGACTGTTAGTGGCTATTAATGGGTGGTATGTAACAGCAGACTGTGATAACAAGGCCTGAATATGAGAGAGCTTAAGCCGTAAAGTTATTGAACTCGATATTGAGTCCGGAAGGCTGCAGGGATGCCAGGTGGAAAATGAGATGTTGTCCTCCCAGTTTGTGCTGAGCTTTGCTGGAACACTGCAGTAAGCCTGAGGCAGAGATGTTGGGCAAGGAACAGGGTGGTGTGTTAAAGTGACAGGCAATTGGAAGTTTATTGTCTTTATTTTTCTGAATACACTGCAAGTGTTCTGCAAAGTGCTCGCCCAGTCTGTTTCGTTTCCCTATTATACAGGGGACCATATTGTGAGCAGCAAATGCAGTAGATGAGATTGTGTGAAGTGCAGGTAACGCACTGCTTCACCTGGGAGGTGTGATTGGGCCTTCGGACATTGCGGAGGGAGGAGGTAAATGGGCAGGTGTTACACCTGCGGTTGCAGGGGAAGGTGCCGTGGGACTGTGAAAGAAGAGTGGACTAGGATGTCCTGGAGGGACAAAAAGAGTTGCTGGAAAAGCTCAGCAGGTCTGGCAGCATCTGTGGAGGAGAAAACAGAGTTAATGTTTCGGGTCCGGTCACCCTTCCTCAACTGGAGGGAATGGTCTCTGCGGAAGACTGACAAGGGAGGGGTGTATGTGTCATATGGTGACCTCTCTCTGGAGGTGGCGGAAATGACAGCTAATAACCCTCTGGATGTGGATGCTGGAGGGATGGTAGCCAAGGACAAGGGGATCCTATTGCTGTTGCAGGAAGGAAGAGAGGGTGCGAGGGCAGAAGTGCAGGAGATGGGTCGGACTTGGCTGAGGGCCCTGTCGACAGCAGTGGTGAGGAATCCTCAGTTGAGGAAGAAGGTGGACGTTTTGGAGGCCCCCTTGTCGAAGTTATCATCATCAGGATGAATGTGATAGAGAGAGAGGTACTGGGAGAATGGAATGGAGTGTTTACAGGAAGCAGGGTGCAAGGATGTGGAGTCCAGGTAATTGTGGGAGTTTGTAATGGATATTGGTGGCCAGTATATTACCAGAAATGGAAACCGATGTTGAGGAATGGAAGGGAAGAGTCAGGTCCTATCTTGATTCAGTCTTTTCTCCCTTGGCCCAGTCCTTGCCTATTCGTGTGTCTGACTAAATGCCTCTTAAAAGTTGCTATTATTTCTGCTTCCACCACTTCCCCTGGCAGCATGTTCCAGGCACTTACCACACTCTGTGTAAAAGCTTTCTTCACACATCTTTAAACGTGCCCCCTCTCTCCTTAAGCCTATGGCCCCTAGTATTTGACATTTCCACCCTGGGGAAAAGACTCCGACTATTCCACCCTATCCATGCCTCTCATAATTTTATACACTTCTATAAGATCACCCCTCAGCCTCTGACACTCTTAACAAAAACAATCCAAGTTTGTCCAACTTCTCCTTTATAGCTAACACACTCCAATCCAGGCAACTTTGGGGTAAACCTCTTTTGCACCTTCTCCAAAGCCTCTACATCATTCCTATAGTGTGGCAACCAGAACTGCACAAAGTACTCCAAATGTGGCCTAACTAAAATTTTGTACAGCTGTAACATGACTTGCCAACTTTTATACTCAATTTGCTGATTGATAAAGGCCAGCAGGCCGTATGCCTTCTTTAATACCTTATCCACTTGTGTTGCCACTTTCGGGAAGCTACAAACTTGAATTCAACACCCCTCTGCACATCAATGCTGCTAAGGGTCCTGCCATTTACTGTATACTTTCTTCTTGCGTTTGACTTCCCAAAATGTGTAACTTCAAACTTATTTGGATTAAACTCCATCTGCTGTTTGTCTGCCCATCTTTCCAACTGATCTATACCCTGCTGTATCCGTTGAAAACTTACCACAATATCCACAACTCATCCAATTTTAGTTCATCTGCAATCTTATTAGTCAGACCACCTACATTTTCATCTATGTCATTTATCTCTACCAGCAATAGAGGTCCTAGTGTTGATCGTTGGGAAACACCACTGATCACAGACCTCCGGTCAGAAAAACGCCCTTTCACAACTTCCCTCTGTCTCCTATGATCAAGCCAGTTTTGAATCTAATTTGCCAACTTACTATGGTTCCCAGGCAACTTAATTTTCTGGATCAGCTGACCATGAGGGACCTTCTTAAATGTTTTAGTAAAGTTCACATAGACAACATCCACTGACCTACCCTCATCAGTCATCAGCCATCAAGGGTGGCATGGTGGCTCAGTGGTTAGCACTGCTGCCTCACGCCAGGGACCCAGGTTTGATTCCACCCTCAGGTGACTGTCTGTGTGGAGTTTGTACATTCTCCCCGTGTCTGCGTGGGTTTCCTCCCACAGTCCAAAGATGTGCAGGCTAGATGGATTGCCCATAGTGTTCAAAGATGTGTACATTAGGTGGATTATAGGGGAGCACTGTGCTGTCGGAGGGTCAGCACTGAGGGGTGTGCAAGCTAGGTGGATTGCCCATAGTGTTCAAGGATGTGTACATTAGGTGGGTTATAGTGGGATAGGTCTGGATGGGATGCTCTGAGGGTCGGTGTGGGCCGAAGGGCCTGTTTCCACACTACAAGGATTCTATGAACAAGTCTGCTCCACTATTCAATCATGGCTGTTAAGTTTCTCAACCCCATTCTCCTGCCTTCTCCCCATAACCTTTGATTTCTTTACCGATCAAGAAATTGTTTGTTCTAATGACTTAGCCTCCCCAGCCTTCAGCAGCATCTCAGTTCTAAAAGATTATCCCTTCAAGCAGAGGCTACTAGTGGAAGCATTTTCTCCATGACCAATTTATCCAGGCCTCTCACTATTCTGTAGGTTTCAATCAGATCCCCCTCATCCTTCTCCACTCCATCGAGTACACATCCAGAGTCCTCCACTGCTCCTCGTGACAAGTTCTTCATTCCTGGGTTCATTCTTGTAAATGTCCTCTGTACCCCCTTCAAGGCCAGAATATCTCTCCTTAGATACAGATTCCAAAACTGCTCACAATATTCCAGATGCAGTCTGAGCAGAGCCTTATACATCCTCAGCAGTACAACGCTGTTCCTGTCTTCTAGCCCTCTTGAAATGAGTATTAATATTGCATTTGCTTTCCTAACAGACAACTGAAACGGTATGTTAACCTTCAGAGATTCCTGAACTAGGATTCCTAAACCCCCTTGTGCTTTAGATTTCTGAAGCCTTTCCCCATTGAGAAAATAGTCTATGCCTCTATTCTTCCTTCCAATGTACATAACACACTCAAACCTCACCTCAAATGGTTGGAGGCACTGGATTGTGCAAAGGCTATGACCCGTGACAACATTCCAGCAACAGTACTGAAGAGTTGTGTTCCAGAACATGCCATTCCCCTAGCCAGGGCAGTTACAACGCTGACATCTACCCAAAAATGTGGAAAATTGCCTAGGTGTGTCCGGGACACAAAAAGCACGAGAAGTCTATGCTGGCTAATTACCGCCCCATCAGTCTACTCTTGACCATCAGTAAAGTGACGGAAGGGGTCATCAACAATGCTATCAAGCAGCATCTGCTCAGCAATAACCTGCTCAGTGACACACAGTTTGGGTTCTGCCAGGGCCACTCAGCTCCTGGCCTTGAACTGAAGAATCACACCATATTTGAAATGTTAACTCAGTTTCTCTTTCCAGATACTGCCTGATCTGCTGACTTGCTCCAGAATTCTCTGTGTTTGTTTCTGTCACAAAGGAAGATGATTGTGGTTGCTGGAAATCAGTTGTCTCAGCTCCAGGATATCTCTCCAAGAGTTCCTCAGGGGAATGACCTAGGCCCAACCTTCTTCAGCTGCTTCATCAATGGCCTTCCCTCCATCATACTGTCAGAAGTAGGGATGATTATACAATGTTCAGCGCCATTCACAACTCTCAGACGCTGAAGGAGTCCATGTTCAAATGCAGCAAAATGGGGATAATATCCAGGCCCTGGGTTGACCAGTTGCTACAAAATGCCAGGCAATGACCATCTCCAACAAGAGAGAATTTAACCATCACTGCCTTCACATTCAATAGCATTCAATAGTGAAATACTAAATAAAAACCAAAAGAACTGCGGATACTGCAAATCAGGAACAAAACAGAAATTGCAGGAAAAGCTCAGCAGGTCTGGCAGCATCTGTGAAGAAAAATCAGAGTTAATGTTTCGGGTCCAGTGACCCTCAGAACCAGAGGAAGGCTCACTAGACTGAGGAAGGTCACTGGACCCAAAACATTAACTCTGATTTTTCTTCACAGATGCTGCCAGACCTGCTGAGCTTTTCCAGCAAACTTCTCTTTATGATGGATTCCCACTTTTCCCTGATAATGTTTTACACTCTTAACAAGAATCTCTCCACCCTATCTTAAAAATGTTTAAGGACTCTGCTTCCAGCACCATTTGAGAAACTGAGTTCCAAAGACTCTGCACCCTCCAAGACAGATACATTTGCCAATTTCTGTTTGAAATAAGGAGGCTTTGATTTTTAAACAGAAACCCCCATTTCTTGATTGTCCCATAAAACGAAACATCCTCCCCAGTGAGAACACTTCTGCACTTTATAACATTCAATCAAATCATCTATTATTATCTTAAACCCGAGTGAAGACAAACCCAGCTTGTCCAACCATTAATGACAAGGCAACACACCTCCATTCCAACTGAGTCCAGTAAACCTTACCTGAATTGTCTTCAATGCGTTGCTATCCTTCTCTAAATAAGTTGGCTAATACTGCACGCAAGAC